TAGTCCTAAAGTAAGTTTTTTAACCTGAAAATTTTATTTAATTTTCCCTTATTTTCTCACCCTTTAAAAATTATTTCACATCCTATAAAGTTATATTTAAGAAACTATGGACATTTTAAACTTGTAGAATACTTGTTTTCTATTTTTTAATGCTATAAAACCAATGCATTAAATTAAAATTGGCATAACTAATATGCTATGATAAAGCAAATATAAATTAAACATATTTCTTCCAAAAACACTTCAATATACCTCATAGAAGAATGAAGTTGCCTGAAACATAAAAACATAAAGCTTAAGGTAATATAGTGTAACTATGTCATTTCTGAATTTCAGAGGTGTTCTAGTAACATAGAATAATGAATGTAGGTAGAACTTTATTCTATAAGCATTTGATTTCCCAAAGTCTTATCAAACTATGTGGAATATGCTTAGTTTTTAAAGTGTTACTGACTATAATATCATCCTTCTGATAAAATAATAAATGTTGAATTAATGTTTAAGAATATGGCCCAAAATAATCAATTTTTTACTTCAGAATTCAATAAAGATACTGGTTTCTTAATTATTTAAATACATCTGCCTCTTCAGTTCCAGATTTGGCCCTTACAATTAGCAACAAAAACATTATACACTACAAATCTAAGGCACTGCCAACTTGGGGTCCGTGGGCTTAAAATGTAACATTAAATTTTTATTCTATTCATATATTCCTGTTAGGAATATTTATGACTATAATTTTTCTCAGAGTTATAGACTTTTGTGAGGATATGATTCTCAGATTAAACTCTGAAACTCACAGCACGTATTTGGAGACTGGGTCAAAGTGGTCACAACAGTTTTATTTCTATGGCATTGCATCAATCCCCCTAAAAGCAGCAAGTTAAAAGAGAAGTATCTTTGAAATGACTCAAATGAACAAGGTACCTTTCAGAAATAATGTAGCTAACTTTTTCAGATATAACATACTCACAGCAATGTAATATAAAAAATACAAGAAAAAACATTTAAAAAATAAAGCACACAAAAATGCAGTAACTAGTGGCTCCAAATGGCAAGTCAGTGGTTTTATTTAATTATTCTCTCATTCATTCAACCAATAGTTACTGGACTCCTACTATGCACAGAGGTACTAGGTTAGGTGCTTTAGATACAATGATGAATAATTCAAATTTATCCCATACTATAGACACTTTTACTTCTCTTTTTCAAAACTATTTTTGAAAACCTAAATAAATCTGAGTTTTCCAAGATTTATGTTGCCTGACAGAATTTTAATCCAACACATGTTTGGTTTTCCTGTATTGAACAGATATAGTCTACTTTTTTCCTTCTTAACATTGGCATGAAAAAAAATTTCTTCAAACTTAATCATGGTATTACTTTTAATCAGAGGAAAAGAATTTCTATACAAGTTTACGTCATGCTAAATTATTAAAGTATAGCTATTTTCTTACTGGGGAACTATTTGTATATTATGCAAGTTACCCTGACTCCATAACTATACATGCCAATGAAGCACCTCACAGATAAAAACATTTTGAAATGTGATCAATATTTGCCAAGCAAGTTTTTGAGACCTTGAAGAACAATGCAGCTGGAACATTTTTTCTTTCATCATGTATTTGTAGTCTTAGAAAAGTAATGATTAGAACAGCTACAACATACTGATGGATATTTTCAGATACTAAAATAAGTTCTGTTTTATCTGAAGTGACAATTTAACTTGAATAAATTGACCTGGGAATCATTTTCCAGTGAGAGCAAAATTTAAATGTATATTAATACTAAAAAGGTAGGAAATTTCTTATATTCAAGTAGTACAGGCAGTGCCTTTTATGTAGTGTGTTAATCACTAAAACAGGTTGAAATTATTTAAATTAAATTAAATTAAATTAAAAAATAATTTAAAAATAAAATAGAAATGATAAAACTGAGAGACCTACGATTAGTACTTGCTAATTAGTACACTAATTAGCAACACACAGCAATCTTACATAGAACACCCATAATGCCCTGACACCCAAACTTGCCAGTCACTCAGGAAAACAAACAGGTTAACTACTGAAATGATTAAATCTTGCACTTACCAACCTCCACAACACTAGAACAGTTGGGATCTGTGAAGCCATCTGGACACTCACAGGAAAAGGAACCATCAGACAGTCCTGACACACAGATACCTCCATTCTCACATGGATTGGGATCACAAATATCACCTGAGGAATAAAGAAACGGATATTGACTTTTTTTTGCCTTAGGCACCGAATGTACTATTTCACATACTCCATTCATCTCCCTTTTGTAAAGTCACCATACGATTTAGATTTACAGATAAGGCAGGCAAAACTCATTTGAAACCATGTGCTTCTAAGAGGGATGGCATGTAACATGGTAAAGAATTAAATTTTATAAATCAAACATTGCATACTGAATTGCCTAAAAGTTGTTAACTCAGTTGGGGGTTTTTTCATTACATGTAAATGAAATATTGTCTAATTTGTTAAAGAAGATTACCCGAAATAGCTGTCGTAGACTGGTTTATTAACTATTCCAATAAATAACCTATCTACATCCACACACTTTGCTCTGTAACTTTGCAATTCTCTCAATAAAGGGGTGGTGCTTATTTCTTGATTCCCTGGAGTCTGGGCTTGTCCATGTGACTTGCTTTGGCCAACAGGATGGTCGCAGACTTGAAGCCAGCAGAGGTTTGAAAACACACTTGAATATTTCTACTTCCTTTCTCGGAAACCTGCCACAGCCAAGAGAATAAATTCAGGCTAGCTTGCCTGAGAGAGGTGAGAGAAACATGGAAGAAAAGAGCAATGAACTGTACCACAGCAAAGAGCTAAAATATGTGGCCTTGGCTTTAGTACTGGTAGCAGATGGAATCCGGAAAGGCACTGAGAGAATGGCTACAGGAGACTAGAAAAACGTCTATCCATGTTATGCAGAGAGAAGCAGCTGGTAAAGCTGTCACCTGAGGAAACTGCATGATAGAAAATGTACCCAATGAACATTTGTAACTGAGTAATGAGATTTCTAGGCAGAGTGTTAAAGTACCACTTGGCTCTTAATAGCTGTATTTGATAAGGCACTACCAGAAAGAGACGTGTTAAAGAAAAAACTGATGAGTTTGAAAGTAAAGAAAAGGATTATAGGGAAACCAGGACTTGTGATTGAAAAGAAAACAATTTCTCAAATCCAGCCCCTCAAACCAGTGAAGGATCAAATCCAGAGCTGTGTTGGAAAGACATGGCCTCAACAAAAACATCGCATCAAGCATGTGGCTATGAGACCTTTGTGAAAACATTTCAAGTAATTCAGGTGCACCTGAAAGACTCTCTCAGCTAAATAAGAAGGGCTTCTAGAAATCTTAAGGGTTACTAATTCCTGAGTAGCCTGATGTACCCAAAGCAGCACTGGTTAAGTCTGGGGAACAACAGGCTTCAGAGACACAGGTGTAGCTTTATTGCACAAAGAGGATGTGAATCAGATTCAGAAGAGCCCACTCAGTTTCCAAGGGAGCTTTACAGGTGGAAGTGCCACCTCATGGTGAGAAGAGACTGAGGCTTGTCAAAACTTAAAGAAGAAGCAGGACCTCCTACTACTACTTTGTATTTCTTAGGCATTCTATCCCCTGTAGAAGCTTTCTCATGAATTAATTATTTCATCTCTTTTCCAGACCAGCCACTTTAAAATATTAGAAAAATGAAAATGGAAGTTAGAATATATGTCAAATGTATAAAGCAAGTCATTAGCTATTCTAAGATGACAGACAAAAATGCATCAGCTCTGGAGCAGATATCAGAAAAGGGAGTCACGAAATAAGTGAATAAATGAGTATGGTCTGGAAACACTATAGGATTTAGTACGGCTGGACTGTGGAGTATTTGATTGGGAAAGGCTGAGAAAGTACAAATATGTCAGATCAGGAAAGATTAAAAAGTGACATCGCCATTTGTAAGATGAGGAGCCAATGAATGTTTTTAATACGTATTTTAAAGCTTTGACGTAATCAAATCTATTTTAAGAAGACTATGCTTGCAGCATTCCATAGAGTACACTTGAAATTGGAGGTTGATGACTGGTAAAGATATTTCGATAGATTATCTGTCTCTCCATGTATCTAGCTAGCCAGCCACTCAGCCATCCCCCCATTTGTCCACCCATTTGTCCATCTATCCTTCTATACCCAAGTACCTATTTTATGATAGGCACTGAGGTAAGTGCTGAATATACAGAACTAAAGATAGTCTTTGAGATCAATAAGTAACAGAGCCTACTATCCAAGATTAAAATATAGGAACAGTTACAGCACACAGCAATAAGACCTCTGATTGGTACACATGCTTCAAATTGTGGGATCACAGGAGACTTCTAAAAGGACTCAGTGCTGTTAGGTGATGCAGAAGACGAGGGGGTACATGCTCAGCATTCCAGGCAAAGAAAATAATATATACAAAGAAAAAAGATCACAGCTCACTCCAGAAACTTCAAGCAGGCCACTGTAATTGGAGCACAGATGTATATGAGGAATAGAGAGAAAGGAGCTCAGAAGGGTAGCACTGTCATATAGATAAAGGCCTTACATGCTGTGCCCACATTCTGAAGTTTATCCGTGAGCACTGGAAATCATAAAAGGACTTTACACCTGGGAAAATACACGGCCTCATCTGTGTTCTGAACGATGACCCAGGCAGCATCCTGTTGGATCAAGACTGAGGGCAAAAGGATTAAACATTAATCTTCTGAAGTAGTCCCAGCAAAAAATGATGAGGATTTTCTCTTTTTTTTTTGCCTTTATATATATATTTATTATATATTTAATTGACGTATAGTTGATTTACAACGTTGTGTTAATTTCTGGTGTACAGCATAGTGATTCAGTTATACATGTATATATTCCTTTTCATATTCTTTTTCATTATAGGTTATTAAAAGATATTGAATATAGTTTCCTGTGCTATACAGTTGGACCCTGTTGTTTATCTATTTTATATGCAGTAGTTAGTATCTGCAAATCCTGAACTCCCAATTTATCCCTCCACACCCCCTTTCCCAACTTGCAACCATAAGTTTGTTCTCTATGTCTGTGAGTCTGTTTCTGTTTTGTAAATAAGTTAATTTGCGTCTTTTTTTTTTTAGATTCCACACGTAAGTGCTATCATATGGTATTTTTCTTTCTCTTTCTGGCTTACTTCACTTAGTATGACAATCTTCAGGTCCACCCATGTCGTACAAAAATTTTTAATGGGTGAGTAGTATCCATTACATATATATCCCACAATTTTCACAATTTCTTTATCAAATTATCTGTCAATGGACATTTAGGTTGCTTCCATGTCTTGGCTATTGTGATTAGTAGCACTATTCCTAACCCTCTTTAGAGGTAGCTCTGGACAGGGAAAGCAACGGAGGCACAATTTAAACCCAATCCATGGAATAAATACTGGAAATGAAATGAAAGTCTCCCCAAATCATGACCTCCTCTCCCCCTAGATAATTCACCTAGAAGCAAAAGCATTATTGTTGAAATTTTCTAGAAAGCCAATCACCAGTTTAAAGGTGTGATCCTGCCTCTCTGCCTTTGTGAGTAAATGAGCACAGCTCTGTACAGCAAGACTAACAACACCACCATCTGCTCTGTGCACTGCATGATGATGTGTATAAACACCCGCTTTTTTGATAAGATGTCAGTCATATTTCTGTGAAATGTCATTACTATAAAAAGGACTTCTCCTCCCCAGACCAGGGTCTGTTGTTACAGCAATGTCAACAGATCAAGGCATATTATAGATATTTATATTGATTTATTCATACTGACAGAAGCAATGTCTACAGGAGAAAGGCAAAGCATGAACAGTATCCTAGAGGTTCTCAAGAATCCAGGCTACATTTATAACTGTACCCAAGTCAGGAACCTCTCATTCGGATCCCTCTCACTCCTACAGCCAGGTTCCTGCATAACCTAGCAACTGATGTGAGCTTCTAGTCCTGATGTACCCAGGGCCACATGAAGCCAGAATGTCTGGTCTATATGAATATCCCATTATTATGGGGAGTTTTGGTGTCTTAAGAAATCCTCCTTGTTACTGGTAGCTGCCCTTTCTAGGTGATAACCCTTAATCTAACTGGTTTTCTAGCCGGGGTGTGGGCCAGCCACACAGTACTTCTGTGGTCAGAGTCAGAAAGACCAATCTGTCCACCTCTCACTGTACCTTGCAGATGCCAGCTGCTCTTCAGCTGACCTGCTTTTTCCCTCTTGTCCTTGTACTTTTTGTTCTTTCTTTTTGCTTACATCTACTTATTTCTAACACATTATATACTTGTGAAAACTCACATTTTATTGCCATTAGTGATATTTCCTCAGTGTCTTCTTAAAAGGTAGAAAAGAGATAACAGGTTTGACCAAAATGTGTAAGATAGACTCAGGATGACACTGTGACCAAACTGACATGGGGTCTGTGGGAGAGCAAAAAGTCTGGGTTGAGTTTCAGAGCTCCTGCCTTTATGACCATGTGGCCATCTTTCATAAGGAAATACAATGGGTTTAGTTTTAAAGGAATTACTGAGTTTGAGAAGCCGGTGGGATACTCAAAGTGAAAATGACCCATAAACCTACTGAATAAGCAGATATGGAATTGGAGAGCTTCCCTTAAACGTGGACTGTTAAGTACAAATGTGAATACTGTATTCCTGTGAGAGTCTTAAAGGAAGGGCAGAGGAGGGGAGTAGAGAGGAGGTCCTTGAGCATACTAACAAATAAGTGAGAAGGAAGAAAGAAGATTCTTCAAAAGAGAAAAAAAGAAAAGAAAATCAGTGCTAGGCTCTTTCCACTGCAGTGTAAACATGTAGTTTATTCACTCAGGGTCTAGTATGTCAAGGTCTTTCTGAGATTAATTAAAGGCCCCACATAGACCTATGTTAGATGGACAATGTCAGCAGAATACAAAGTTCTGCCCTTGAATGAAGTAGAGGGAAGACCACAGAGCTCATCAAACATAATTAGGGTTGTTACAGACCATTCTCTATATCTGGTTCCCTGTATCTAATTATTAGTAGGACCCCTGTGTGAGTTGGGTTCTCCATGAAGTAAGTGCTAAAATGAAGTTAAAAGCACAGGTTTACTGAGCAGTAATGCCTAAGCAAGATAAAACGAGGAGGAAGCAGAAGTGGGCAGCACAAGTCTTCATCTTGTGATGTAGATGTGACA